TAAACAGTGGTGGCCAAAATAACATGCACTGTGCTGACTGTTCAGTATTTAAACAAAGGCCTTCCCACTATTTGGTACACTAATTATTATCAGTTCGGAAAGATCGCACCCTCACAAAACAGGTTTTATCTTTGACTACTAGGCTAAGATGGAAGCTGAAAAAAAAACATAAAAGGTGCGTGTTCGCTATTGTTTACCATATGTCTTTGGCATGGAATTTGCCTAGCTCTTTTCCGTTCAAGTCTTCGAGCAAATATAACGCCTGACCTAACTTTTGTTTAATGCGTGCTTTTGTTCCTACAGGAGCTAATTTTGCATTAAAGTTGGCTGCCAAATTACTTTGAGCAAAATTTCGCTTTATTACCTCCTGACCTACGTCAAAACTTCGGGGCCTAGCACGTAAATTATATGTTCTTTGATTTTTCTCATATGCTTTCGTTAATTGCTTATCTATGCAAGAGCGGATCTTTATAAAATCATCGGCTTTTATTAACTTTTCGGTGCCGTCATTTAGCAAGTCGAGATTCCTTAGCAATTTATAGTCTCGACCATGTGTTATCATATGCTGGCCAAAAACTACGAAGTATGGCGACATTCCAATAGATTGATGAATAAAATTTCTTAACGACGAGTTGATACTGGGTAAAAACAAATCCCAAGCACGCTGATCGGTATGAACATAAGCCCTCAAAGCAGCATTTATTGAACGATTTACTCTTTCAGCAGCATTCGACTGCGGGGCATAGGCACCGGTGCACACATGCTGGGTACCATACCTGGAAATAAAGGTAGCGAAATCATGGCTTTTAAATTGAGTTCGATTATCGCTGACAATTATTTCCGGTACGCCGAAACAGGAAAAGAGTTCGTCTTTAAGAAAATCAATTACTACTTGCGAGGTGAACTTCTTTACTGCCTTCAAAAAAGTGAATTTTGAAAAATGGTCGAGGACGATAAAAATACCGATATTGCCTTTCTTCGTACGAGGGAAGGGACCGATGAAATCGATGTATAATCTCTGAAAGGGTCTTTCACTCGAGATTTGATTGCCCATTGGGGGTTTAAGAGGGTATGTAGGATGTTTAGATGTTTTACATATGTCGCATTTTGCTATGTATTCCCGTACATCAATAACCATTTTTGGCCAAAAAAATCTTCGCCGAATACGTTCCAGACATTAGGCAACACCACAATGGCTAGACGTTGGCTGGTCATGGGCCGAACTTATAACCTGAGTACGCAAAGGCTCAGGAACAAACAACTTCCAGCAGTCGTCTTGATCAGCGCTGTTTACCGGAAAGCTGCTACGCCGATATATATAGTTATCAACCACTTGAAAGTCCGGAAGATTCGAGGTTTGATATTTCTCTCGCAGTTTGTTATATTCAGCAGATTGAAAGGCATCCGACTCTAAGTCTATTTCAGGAGATATATCGTTATCGATAACAGCGATTTCGTCAACTTCTTCGAAAGAACGTGATAAGGCATCTGCCACTACATTTTCACTTCCTTTTCGATGCTCAATCTCAAAAGTGAAGCCCTGGAGTTTAGTCGCCCATCTAGCTAACCTACCACTCAAATCCGATTGGTTCATTAACCAGCGTAGGCTAGCATGGTCAGTGACTACTTTGAATGGATGTCCTTCTATATACATTCGAAATTTTTTAATAGCAAGGACAACGGCCAAACACTCAAGTTCCGTAACTGTATAGTTACGTTGTGCTTTACTAAGCTTTTTAGACATATAGGCGATAGGTCGTTCGCATCCAGTTCCATCAACTTGAGCTAAAACAGCCCCTACCCCATATAATGAGGCGTCGCATTGCAAAATAAATGGCTTTTGATAATTCGGGTGGATTAGAAATGGGGCCGTACACAGTCGGCGTTTTATCTCGTCGAAAGCTACTTGGGCTTGTTCATTTCATTCGAATGCCTTGCCTCGCAGTAATTCTGTAAGTGGAAAAATAACCGTTGAATACTGGGAAATAAAGCGCTGGTACCAGCCAGTCATCCCTAAAAATCTTCTAAGCTGTTTGCGCGTTTTAGGCGCGGGGAATTCGGCAACCGCCTGAATTTTGTCGGGATTCATGTGGAGAGTACCTTCTTCAATTATATAGCCAAGATAATCAATTCTATTTAAACAGAATTGGCTCTTGCTCATATTTATCGTAAGTCCGGCTTTACGTAACTGTGTGGAGACTACGGCCAAATGCTCTAGATGCTCTTCAAAGTTAGATGACATTACCAATAAATCATCAAGGTATACTAGAACATGTGTTTTCAAATTGTACGGAATAACTTGATCCATGAGCCTACATATAGTCTGGGCGCATTGGTTAGCCCGAAGGGCATTCGTTTAAACTGGTAAAGGGGTCTGTTAGGGATGGTAAAGGCCGTCTTCGCACGCGAGTTCTTTTCTAATCGAATTTGCCAAAAGGCATCCTTCAAGTCAATCTTTGATATACAATGCACGGGAGGAAGACGACTTAACAAACCCTCAAGGATCGGCATCGGATATGCATCCTTTACGGTCACCGCATTGACCTTACGAGCATCTAAACATAATCTCACCTTTCCAGGCTTAACAACTAGTGTCACTAGAGAAGACCATGGAGAAGCAGAAGCTTCTTCAATCACTCCCAAGCGCAACATACGATCAACCTCCTCACATAGCAACTTCTCCTTGGCCGGTGACAAGGGATAAAACCTTTGTTTAATAGGCTTAGCCTCAGCTGTGTCAATCACATGCTCTACAAGAGATGTCTCTCCCAGACCATAGCGTTCCGATGAAGGGAAAAATTCTATCACCGACTGAAGCTTTGCTCTCTGAGCGTCCGACATATGTAATTTGCTGGGCACGCTTGCTGTCTCTTCTACCACTTCATTAATAGAGAAAGGGGTTCTAATGGAGATCCCAAAAGCTCTCCAAAAGTCCATTCCGCAAATAACACTCTGCTTGATAGACGGTACTACCAGAAATTCAAACTCCGCTTCAATTGAATTGTAAGTCAGGGGTATACTAACAGTACCTGCAACCGTCTGTTTATGACCATCAGCAGCATGAACTATGCCATTTATTTTGTTAAATTTTAAAGGTTTTGAAACAATTTCTGCGGCAAGAGCTCCTCCTATTACGCTCTTGTTAGCTCCACTGTCTAGAAGAGCTAAATGCTTATGGCCAAATATTTCAATATTTGTAAACGGGCGGATATCGTCCTTACTGTGAATGATTGCAGAAATGATAAATTTATTTAGATTACGTTTCTTTAGCCAAAACTTTTTCATCCGCAAAGACGAACGGCGTTTTGGGACCACCACAACATCAACATTGAAAATCGCTGCTCGCCTTTCTTTATATTCCTTTAAACGTATGTGATAGGGTCTAAATCTAGCAGGGCTCCACTCGGGTAAAACAGTTGGTACCTCAGGTAAAGAAAGTGGTAAGTCTGTTGAACTAGTCGATAGGTCTGGTGTTGGTTTAGATAAGATTTTGCTAGTATCCAAGGCTAGCGTCGGATATCCCCCTTCGGAACTCGGTGGACATCCGGCGCTGCGTTTTCCGAAAGCGATTTACAGTTTACACAGCTGGGCTTGTAAGTGTCTACTAAGCCGCACCCATAACAAAAGACGCGACGAGGCTTCAGGCAGTCGTGGTATCGATGACCTAACTCGTCACAGTTCCAACACTTAAGCTTATCTTTGACACGCATTGCACAAATTACCTCTGCTACTTCAGGTTCTTCTTCGGATTGGCTTTCCGAGTCTTTTTGGTGAAGAATGGAATTTACGAGGCGCTTAGCAACATTCGCCCGATTGAAAGGTTTCGATTTAATATTCCTAAAGAACTCTTCATGGCGATGATATTCTTTGCGCAATATTGCCAAATTAGGAGTATCAATATGCAAAAGTTCATATTTTAATTCCGGCTTCAAGTTATGTCTAATTTCTACGATGATATCGGTCTCTAACATGGGCTCTCTCAGGGAATCTGCAATCGCTAACATGGCGTCGAGGAACTCATCAAAGCTCTCATTATTGCCTTGCTTTCGTCGCCTCATAGTGTTCTTGATGTCCCTATCCGTTCGCTGATCTTGGTATCTTTCACGCAACCGGTTACAGAGCCCGAACCAATCCATATGGCCTACGGTTCTATGAACACGCCAATATAATGCCAGAGCTGGTCCAGAAAATAGCAATTAGCAAACTGATATAAAAGTACGAAATTTCAGTTAAAATATTGGTAAGTTAAACAATTGACACGATAGATAAAATCTTCAATTGGAAGATCATTCACCGCACCAGAAAATTTTAGTTTCCAACTCGAAATGAGATTGGAAATTCTATCAGGTCGGTCAGTGGAATAATCGATGGTGGTAGGTCGGGTACTAGCCGATCTGTTTCTATGACTTGCATGAACATCGCTTATACGGGGTTCACCTATCTGACTATCATTGTCCCACTCGAGTTGAGGCTCCTCTATAGGATCCCTTGGACATGTTGATAAATTCATATTCCTTAGAGCTGTCGTGATCTGATCAGTCACTGCAGACAATATATTCACTCGATGAGTCTCTAATGAATTTGCAATGATTTGCTGAATACGATCTTCAGACAAGAAATTGTTCCCGAGGGTGGTACCACTTGTATCAGATCGTTTTCGTAAAAAGGCTTGAGGACGCGCATTCGGAGTGTTTCGATTAGTAGATCTTGTATTGTGTTGCTTTGATTTTGGGATGGCTCCAGATTGAGTGTTGGCTGTAGGAGCACTAGATTTACCTGCCACACCTTTGCAGTTCGCTCCGGATGGCCCAGAGGCGGTTTCCAACGCCTCGGCAAGGATACAAGGCTGTTTACAAGATGGGCAAGAATTATTACTGCGCAACCACTTGGATAAACAGGTTTTGTGGAATCTGTGTTTACAACCGGTATCGAAGAAAATGGTTTCGGTTCGGGTATCTTTGCAAATGGCGCATAATACGCCGCCAGTAGCACTACCTTCAAAGGCGACCAAGTTCTCAGTACTACGTCTGACGGACATATTTAGCTTTTATAGGGTATAACGTTTTTGGTTATTCTTAATTATTGAAGAATTTTACGTTGACTAATTCGATTTAAAATATTTGTAGGATTATTAAATGGGACTTAACCATAAGGGCTCACACATACAGACCTATTTGAATACGTACGACATCTCAAAGGTAAACACAGAATCTATGTAACGCAAATACGAGATGATGAATTTCCAATCCAAATTGAAGAGGAACACGCCAAACATTTGTCCGGCCTGAACAATCTCGATTCGGTTTGGACTGGAAGGCTATATTTATTTAAATATTTATACGTGGAAGAGAACCGACTTTTAATCAGATCTAATAGTCCGAAGAGTAACAATATCTAAAATTAAAACTTTACTGTTGTCCTATGACTTCAGTATTTTCTTATTATATATCCGCTGGTCTGGTTTCGACTAAAATCAGAATCACAGCTAACCCTAGCTAGATAGAGCTAAAGCAAAAATTGTTGGATGAAGAATGGTTGAAGGAGAACGGGAATTTGAAGAAGGTAATACGGAAGCGCGGGGATTCAATTGCCAAGCTCAAAATTTTCAATAGGCATCTTTTTTTTTTGGGCCCCACGTTGAGCGCCATTTTTATATTATGTAACGTGCAAAAATGTGACGACCATGTAGCCCCTCTGTCTACTCTACTGTTCCGGCCGTGCTCAGGGTACTGGGGTGGGTTTTGGAGCTACATGAATCATAAAAAAAAAAACATTACACAATACGAAAATTCGTAGACAGATTAGGTAAAACTAAGGACTTCAAACCACTGAACAACCTTGAGATGTCGACTGAAAAGAACTGGGATGGTTGCGTTCTTTTCTCTCTACCCTCTCTACCTGTAGAGTCTTTTAATATTATATGACCCTACCCTTGATTAGGTTTGAGTGCGAGTTACCTTAGGTGCCCATTAATAAGACAAAGTTCAATTCATGTTGAATTGGTTTTACAAAATATAATTAGGAATCAAATTCAAACTTAATATAGGTTAACAATTCAAAAAAAAAAGAAAAAAAATGGAAAATAAATAAATATATATAAGGTTATATAAGTTAGTAGAGTACAAGTTTAATGAAATGCAATATAATGGTAAACAAAATGTTCAAAATTTCGAATATTCAGCAGCCTACGAGGTCTTATGATACATACGCATATACTAAAGTAAAGAAAAAAAAAAGGTATTAATGGAGGCAAAGCTAAATTCAATTCATATACGTATATACAAGATTATATCTATGCACCTATGTACATAATATGCACATATATGTATATGTATAATATAAGTATAGGGGTATGTACCATAAATAGTCTACGCGCTGATAGAGCCTATAGTTCTTTTTTTGTTTTTGTTATCTCCCTCGTTTTTGTGTTTTTGTGTTTTCCTTTTTTTTTAATGCACTGTGTTTTTGTTAGTTGTTTTTTTTTTCTTGTTGGTATATATTGTACATATATTATTTCTCACATAGTACTTACAGCAATAACATGCATGATCCATCGATGTCAGCAGGCCTGGTGACGATGAGGTATGTATGTATGTAAGTCTGTAGCTGCGGAGCGCATTTAGGCAGAGGATTAAGTCATGTAACAAAAACACTGGTGCAATCTTCACAACGGTATAGCAAAAATGAGACTTATTAGCTGTTTACTATATATGTACATATATATGATTTAAAAGTTAAATTTTTGTTTGTATCTCCGTCCAAGCAAAAAAAAAATATTCTTGCTTTTCATCACCCTTGTCCGTGTGTCTGAAACTGAGCGCCTGGTCTACTGCATATGCATAAAGCTGCACTGACCAGAGCTGTCTTATTTACGTAAGTCCAACGACTTGTGACCATAAGACGTTCTTCACTGGTACTGCTAACTAATAGAGGCGCTGATACCAAAGCCCTGGTTGAACTAATAATGAATTTAGAGTTGGTGCTCCCTTAGGACAAGTCCTAGTTGCCGATCGGGTCCGGAGCTCACAACGTTTTTCTTGGCAGGAATGCACCAAGCAAATATGAGCACCCCTTGTTTCGTGGGCCAACCCAGATCACCAAGGCGCTGTCTGTCGAAAGATAATACAAAGGTAAGACCTTGAAAATCACATTTACACGTGCTTACCTTGTATAAAAATATGTTAACCGACTCAGATGAGAGAAAAACCTAAAAATAAAGCCTGCTTCTGGCTCAGAATTCTTTGGGCAGATCGATGGCACAATATTTAATAATTTCAAGGCACTGATTAATTCATAACTCACTGATTTTATGATAGCATATATTCACGTCTTACAGCTTTGATGGTTTGCGAAAAGTGAACTCTCAACCATGCCGGAAATCAAGGCTCAGCTGAATCTCGAAGGCCTTTCTCACGCAACACTGGATAATTGAGCGCCCCCTGTATGGGTAATTCTAAGCTGATTTCCGCAGCGAGCTTTCGCGCGACTGTTAAACAGTGGTGGCCAAAATAACATGCA